AATTGTGATCCCCCCAATCTCCAATTACCCAATTGGCGCTTCTTTCTGCAGAAAAAGACAACAGCACTCAAGCCAAGGCCAATGCAATCCGCGCTCCCGTGCCTCAATCCTATGCCGCTTCGGTGCCATTCCAGCGCAACCGCTTCCCCCCGTGTCCCTATGTCATCAAGCGCGGCCCTCGTGCCGGCCAGGTATGTGGCGGCACCAACCACGCCCTTGCCTCCTGCTTCAAGAAAAAGGATGACGATTGGTATGCCATCAATGGGACCAACCTCGTGCCTAACACGCCACTGCCGCTTCCATCCTCCAAATGCCATACACGGCACAGGCATCCCTGAGGAACCAGCGTGTCCTCACCAAGACCCACAAGAAGATGGAAGCGGGGGACACACGGGATCCTGTCTTCCGCAATTACATGAGGACCGCGGGGGTGCTGGCGATGCACGAACTGGAGGAGCGCCTTCGCCTCGCCAAGATTAAGACGCGGACAATCTTTGTACGTTAACTAGACCCTGAGGCATGGGTTTGGGGATTGGGATGGAACGTGAGGGCGGGGCAGGGAGTGGCAGGGTGACTGGGCACCTTATGGCAGGGAGGAGATGGCCGTGAGTGGGAGGGAGTGGTATGGCTTGGAAGGTCAAGGGACGGAATGGACAGTGATGGGAGGGAATGTATGGGCATGGCATGGAATGGGAGGGTATGGACAGGGACGGGAGGGAATGGATTGGGAAGGCATGGAATGGGAGGGTATGGACAGCGATGGGAGGGAATGGATGGGGATGGCATGGAATGGGAGGGTATGAACAGCGATGGGAGGGAATGGACGGGGATGGCATGGCCTGGGAGGGTATCCCAGGGATGGGAGGGAATGGATGGGGATGGCATGGAATGGGAGACTGCATTGACTACTTGGCTACCTCAGCTCTTAGGGTCCCATTTAATAAATGGGCATGGCATGGAATGGGAGGGTATGGACAGAGATGGGAGGGAATGGGAGGCCATGGACGGGGATGGGAGGAAATAGGAGGGAATGCACGGGGATGGGGGGGAATTGGAGGGAACGGGGTAGGAAGGAATCACTGAGAATGGGAGTGGGAGTGGGAGGGAAAGGGCCGCGAACAGCAAGCTCTCGCAGGATTTGGAGAGAGAGTCAGGGAATAGCAAGGAATGAGTCAAGTGGGACGGGGAGGGGGCCTTGGGAGCGGTACCAGTGGGATTGGTGGGGTTTGGCCAGTGAATGGCATGGAATGGCAGCAATTTGGTGGGACCGGGCTCTCTTTTTTCCACACCCTAAACCCTACCGTGGCCCCTCTGTCCACGTCTCCCCTCTATCCCCTCCTGAGCTCAATCCGTCTAATCATACAATATGACTATCATGTGCCATGGTACCATGCCTCCTTGCCAAGCGCTGCCCTCCCATCTACGATAATTCAAGGCACACTCGTGCCCCCTCTCTACACCCACCCGCCTTCCCTGAACTCCCCCCATTGCCCCCTACCCTAAACCCAGGTCCACACAGCCATGGCCATCCCCCCCCATGACAGCATGGAGTGGACCTCAAAGGGCCAGTTCGTGAAGGCGAGCCCTCACGAGCGCCTCTTCTCTGACGTCTCGATCAGGCCTGGCGGCGGCGTGGGGGAGCCGTGGTATGGTCGTGTCCTGGTGCTTTTCCATTACCAGGATGGGGAGGTGGAGAAGCGCGGGGCGTTCATCCAGTACTACACCGAGGCGCAGAAGCCTTGCCCCATCACCGGGTGCAAGCGCCTGACGCCAACCTTGGGCATCGACAACTATGCCGTTGTGGACGTGGACAGCATCCTGAGCCTTGCACATGTGGTTCCGTGCTGCACGGACCCGAAGTACCGGCTCGTTAACCGGTTTCTTTTCTGAACCACCGGTTGCGCTCTTATTTATGCATGACTTTGTTTAAATTGACCTTGTCTTAGAGGTTGACAATTGAGTGACTCGTACTGAGCATGATACTTTTAGTTTGCAGCGACAACCATTCACAGTGCTCGCAGCAGGTGATGACCCCACTAATAATATAGCAACAAACCCTATCATTTTTATTTCCCACACATGATATATTCCATACATAAACAATTACGTTCGAACATAACAAAAAAAACACAGGAGTGTACTACGATTGGACAGACGCTTATCGCTTTGAAATCATAGGGTTTAGAAATCGTAGCTTTTGCAAAACATACATTTTACATTTACACCCTGCCAAATGCTACGCGAACGTTCTGCGAATGGTATTTGAATGTTCTGCAGATAGTCGGCATCCTCGCTCCACCTCGAATGGTTTTTAGATTGCCACTTTTTTGCGATGAGAGCGACACGCATCCCAGCCAGCAACAAAACTTCCGCAGTGCACGGGGTCCTCCGCAGGTAGACATGAGCAAACGAGGCGAGTAAAGATTACCCGCGAGCAAAAACCACTGGCCTCCTAGTCCGCCACTCCTCCTAATCCGCCACCCTTCATCCTCGTCTGCCACTCTCCCTCCTAGAGGCATCCGCCACATTACCTCCTAGTGGCGGATAATCAATGGATGAACACGGACGTGACTATGACGGGGGAGGTATATGATCCAGGAGTTGGGAGGCACGGTTTTGTGGGCATGGCAGAAGAGTGGGAGCACACAGGGAGGCAGCTACCACGGCGAGGCGAGTAACGAGTAGGGATTCTTGTTAAATTTACCCGGGCGAGTATTGCTCGCCTCGCCCAAAAACAAGGCGAGCAGGGACTCGCCTCGCCATTTGCTCTTGTCTGACGCGAGGTGACGACGAGCTACGCGCACGCCACGCCCAGAGGCGGAAGCCTTCCTGACGACGCGCCACCGCAAACGAGTCCGGGTAGGGCGGCAGCGAGCCTTGAAGTCTAGCGAGCTTCGCGTGGGAGCGGGAAAGAAAAAACGCCGCCGGCGAGACTCACCTCCTCGGCAGCTCGCCTCCGGCAGTCAGGGTCGCCGCTGCCCCTCGCGCGCCAATCGCTCTCCCTCTCCGCGCACGTCCGACGCGAGGCGCTTCTGACTCCCTCGGAAAGCAGCTGTTAAACGCCGGTAGAAGCTGCCGGAATAGAAAACCAGCTTTACGGTCGACTTACACGCACGGAGATATGCAACGGGTGGATTGAACGTTACGGCGAATGTCAGTGGTTCGCTACGTACTAAGGACTCCGGACGCATTTGGAAGGCTGCACAGAGATATGGGAGAACGTGGCAGTAGAAAGCGACTTGATGGTGGGGTGGGGCTCCTTTCTGGGGCATCACGGCTGGACTCGGAGTGCTGTGGTTAGGGATAACGAACCAACGGGAAATCCCCTTTCATTCTGGGGTAGTACGGACATCATTCGACATTTGGAAGGTTAAAGCGAATGGGATTTTCATCCTGCAGGAAATGGTCTCGTTAGGGCGACGTTAGGGCTTGTTGAAAACAACCATGCTGGGGCTACCTACTACGAAATGGTTGATACTCTTTCGCAAGAACCCTATTGGAGGGCTGCCTGACTTCTGAGGCCTGGAGAAACCTTTCGCCAGCCTGACCGGCAAGCTGGGAGCGCTGTAATAGGGCGCAGGCGCCGTGGCAGAAAGCTGGTTTGGCCGCGAAGCGCGAGAGGCTTGGCGGAACACCTGCTGGTTTGGGGGAGTCGCCTGGGAGGGCGTGTGGCGTGGCGAGGAGTGAGGTTGGGAAGGCGAACGCTCCTGCGACCAAGCTGTGAGGCGACGTCGGGATGCTGGCACGGCAGTCGGGGACGCGGTTTGGCTGAGCTTCGGGTTAGCTTGACAGCCCAGCTTATCCAATTGGGGTGCTCGTTCCATTAGCCACGGCGGGCCGTTCCGATCAAAGCTTGGAGGGAGCTTCCACGCGAACGCGAAACGAGGGAAAATTACTGCCGCGGACTGTCCGCAAATCTTTTCATACTTTCGTGGACAGCCCCTACTTTCATGGACACCACATCAACCTTTCGCTTCTCCCGTGGACTCCGTCCTTACTTTCATGGACATCCGCCTTACTTCCATGGACAAGGTCGAAATCGCAGGAAATAGGCGAAAACTCAACTGTACAAAAAATGACGGGCGTTGAAAAAAAAAAACAGCGGCTTAGCGTGCGTCGCAAAGAGTCGCGCACTACAGTGCCCCAAACCCAATCCAAAACAGAATCAGAATCATATTTCAAAGAAGCATTTTTATTTAGAGCCTTGTTAAAAAAACATAATATATTTTGGAAGTTATGCAGGGAAATTTTCCAAAAACATTTATCATGAGAACGAAACCTTTCTTTTTGCGAATATGATGTAAACAACAACAGCAGCACTAGTCTGAACTGGTAGACAAATTTACAAAGCGTACCGATTTTTCCTTCTGAAGTACAGTTACGTAGAAACGCGTGGGTACTGCCTGCCGAATCACACATCACAGGACTTTTTGTGCCAAACGCACCAAACGAAAACCTGGCGTGAAAGTCATGTTCCTAATTTCGGGGAGAGTCTGTTTCGGATTAGGTTTGGGGCACTGTAGTGCGCGACTCTTTGCGACGCATGCTGAGCTGCTGTTTTTTTTTTCAGCGCCCGTCATTTTTTGTGCAGTTGAGTTTTCGCCTATTTCCTGCGATTTTGACCTTGTCCATGGAAGTAAGGCGGATGTCCATGAAAGTAGGGACGGAGTCCACGGGAGAAGCGAAATGTTGATGTGGTGTCCATGAAAGTAGGGGTTGTCCACGAAAGTATGAAAAGATTTGCGGACAGTCCGCGGCAGTAATTTTCCCGCGAAACGATGACCATATGACAGCCCTCATATAAGATTCAGCTACTGGTACATGGTATGTATCTCAGGTGATTGATTGCTATAACGTTATTCCGGAATTTGTCTTGCGAAATCCCCCTTCCCTGTATCGAAGGCGAATGCACAGGCAGCAAAGACAGCCATTGGGAGGGGTTGGTTGGTTGGTGGGTTGGTGGCTTGGCAAATTCAGCCATGGTTCCGCGCGTCATCGCTCGCTACCACTGTTCCTTCGTTACGGAGCGTACTGGCGGGTGACAGCCATGCATCATGCGGAGTAGCTAGACTAGGCCAGGCCAGGGCTGCGTGAGGTATTTCGACCGATCGCCGTTGAGCTACTGGCGCCGAGAGCGCTGTTGAGCCGCCGCTAGCGACCAGCTGCGTGCGTGAGTCGCCAGCGCCTCTTCGCATTCCCCGGTCACGCTGCCGCCGCAATGCTCGTCGTCGCCGCGTCGCATGTCCGCAGCCCCGCCGTGAGCGCACTTGTCCGCAGCGCCGCCGTGAGCGCCTTCCGCGTCGTCGTCAGCTGCGCCGCGCGATCCTCAACTCGCGTGACGCGCGAATCGACTCGCCACCCCCCCGAGCGTCACCGCTTGCCACCCTGCCGTTGAGGCGTCGCTCGCTGCGGCGTCACCGCCTCCCCGCGCGCACCACCCCGCCGCACCT